TTTTTTTATTTTAATTTTATAATTTTCTGTTTTTTCAATTTTCCTTCCTTTAATTTTTCTTTTCTCGAAGTTTGGCTTTTACAGTTTGTCGATTTTTCAATTTTTGATTTGCTGTTTTTCTAGTTTTCATTTGAAATATATATATTTAGAACTTTTTAACAATTTTTCTATTTTTCAATTATTGGATTTTAAAACTTTTTCATGGATTCGATTTTTCAATTTTTCGCTTTTTTTAATTTTTCAATTTCTCCATATTCCATTTTTCGGTCTTTTAGTATTACGGTTTTTCGACTTCCTAATTTTGACGATTCTATAATTTTTCAACTATACAATTTTTGGGTTTTCCAATTTTTTTATACGGTTTATTTTTTCTTCTTTCTATTTTCTCTATTCGTTTTTTTATTTTTAAGTTTATTTTTAGTTTTTCATTGATACAATTTTTCGTTTCTTCATTTCCTCAATTTGCAAATTTTCGATTTTCCACTTTTTCGATTCTTCAATATTTCGGTTTTAGACTTTTCGAATAAAAAAAAAAAAAAAGGAAAAATTGCAAAAATGTAAAGTTGATAAAACGAAAAAGTAGAAAAAAAAAGTAGAAAAATCTAAAAACTGGAAATCAAGAACTTGAAAAATTGAAGAAACGAAAAATTGAAAAATCCGAAGATTAAAAATTAAGGAGCTTAAAAATCAAAAAGTGCAAACAGAGAAAACAAAGTATTTATTATAAAATCGAAATATTGAAAAATCGGAAAATCAAATAACTAGAAATCCAAAAATTTCAAAATTGTAAAATCGAGGAATTGAAAAATCAAAAACATATTGTTAATTCGAAAAATTGAAGAAAAGGAACATTATAAAATCGACAGAGACATTGGGAAAAATAAAGGATATGAAAAAATGAAAAATTGGATACAAAACGACAAAATGAAAATTAGAAAGCAATTTTTCGGTTTTTCAATGTTCTCTTTAATTTTTTTTTTCAATGTAAAATTTTTCAATTTTTGGATTTTTCAATTTTTCGGTTTTCAATTTTTGATTCGGCTTCTTTTTTTTCTTGTTTCTAATTTTTCTATTCACTCATTTTTTTTAATTTTTAAGTTTATCGCTTTTTAGTTTTTCAGTGTTACAATTTTTCGTTCCTTCATTTCCTCGATTTGCAATTTTCGATTTTCCACCTTTACGATTTGTCAACTTTTCGAATAAAAAAATGGAAACATTGTTAAAAATGAGACTAGTACATAGATCCTAACATTCTTTCAAATCTTTTACAAAATTAAAACACCAGGTGTAAAGATACTAGGAACTCAAGACTGTTTAAAACTCTTTGAAAAATAATACCAGTGTTTTTATGATTCTTTCTCATTCTAAAAACAGATACCAGGCGTTTGCAACATTTTTTCAAAAAGAAAACATCAGGTCTCTCTCAGATTTTTTACAAATGAGACTAGGAGATCCTCACATTATTTCAAATTCTTCTAAAATTGAAAAACTAGGAGTCCCAAGGGCTCGTTCATATTTTAAAAAGATATTAGGGGACTTCAAGTTTTTTTCAAGATCACAACATTACGGGTCCCCGAGATTTTTAAAAAAATTTCAAAAACAAAACACCAAGTCTCTCCAAAACTTTTTTAAAAAAGATTGTGACATTCTTTCAAACACCATCAGAAAGAAAATACGAACACCATTCGTTGACGTTTTAAAAAGATACTAAGGGACTGCAAGATTCTTTGAAACTCTTTCAAAAATAATAGCAGGGTTCCTGAGAATAGGGGTCTCCAAGTTGTTTTCAAGATCACAACGTCCTCAAGATTTCTTAAAATATTTCAAAAACAAAATGTCAGGTCTCTCTAACACTTTTTAAAAATGAGACTAGGGGATCTTGGCATTTTCCAAACCCTTTCAATAACAAAATACCATGGACCCTCAAGACGTTTTGAAATTCTTTCAAAATTAAAACACCAGAGGCTTCAAAGACGCGTTTACATTTTAAAAAGATACTAAGGGATTTCAAGATTCTTTTAAAGTCTTTCAAAAATAATACCAGAGTTTCTGAGAATCTTTCTCATTCTGAAAAAAGATACTAGGGGTCTCCCAAGTTGTTTCAAGATTACAAAACGTCATGGGTCTCAGAATTTTTTTTTAATTTTTCAAAAACAAAACGCCAGGTCTCTCCAAGATTTTAAAAATGACACTAGGGGATCTCATCATTCTTTCAAACCCTCTCAAATGGAAAATACCATGGACCCTGAACTTTTTTTCAAAATCTTTCAAAATTAAAACACCAAGGGCTCCAAGAACTCGTTCACAATTTAAAAAGACACTAGGGAACTTCAAGATTCTTTAAAAATCTTGCAAAAATAATACTTCGCTTTCTAAGATACTTTTTCATTCAACAAAAAAGAAACTACAGGTTTCCAAGATTTTTTTCAAGATCACATCACGGGTCCCCCAGATTTTTTTTATTTTTCAAAAACAAAACACCAAGGTCGGTCCAAAATTCTTCAAAAAGATCTTGATATTCGTTCAAACACTCTCAAAAAGAAAATATCATGGACCCTACATTTTTTCAAAATTTTTCAAAATTAAAACACCAGAGATCCCAAGATCTCGTTCACATTTTAAAAAGATACTAGTTACTTCAAGATTCTTTAAAACTCTTTCAAAAATTAATACCGGGGTTCCAAGGAATGTTTCTCGTTCTAAAAAAATACAATGGGTCTCGAAGTTGTTTTCAAGATCACAACGTCACGGGTCCCCAATTCTTTAAAGTATTTCACAAACAAAACGTCAAGTGTCTCAAAGACTTTTTAATAATGAGAATAAGGGATTCTTGCATTTTTTCAAACTCATTCAAAACTTCAATGTTTTTTCAAATTCTTTCAAAATTAAAACGCCAGGGGCCCCAAGGACTGGTTCACATTTTAAAAAGACACTAGAAAACTTCAAAATTCTTGGAAACTCTTTCAAAAATAATAGCAGGGTTCTTAATAACATTTCTCATTCTAAAAAGAAAAAAATACATTAGGGGTCTGGAAGTTGTTTTTTGATCAAAACGTCACGGATGTCCGAGATTTTTTAAAATTTTTCAAAAAGAAAACCTCAGGTCTTTCCAAGACTTTTTAAAAATGGGACTAAAGGCCCCTACCATTTTTTCAAACCCGTTCAAAAAGAGAACCCTTAAGATTGTTTTCAAATTCTTTCAAAATTAAAACACCAGGGACCCCAGGGACTCGTTCACATTTTAAAAAGATATTAGGGGACTTCAAGATTCTTTAAAATTGTTTCAAAAAAAATCGCAGGATTCCTAAGATTCTTTCGTATTCTAAGAAAGATAATAGGGTTCTCCAAGATCCACGGGTCCCCGATTTTTTTTTTAATTTTTCAAAAACAAAATATCAGGTCCCTCAAAGACTTTTTAAAAATGGGACTAAAGGATCCGAACATTTTTTCAAACTCTTTCAAAAAGAAAATCCCGTGAACCCTCACGATTTTTTTAAATTCTTTCAAAATTAAAACACCACAGGCCATAAGATGCTTCCTCATTCTTAAAAAAAGACACTAGAGTTTCCAAGATTCTTTCAAAATGACGTCACGGATTCCCAAAAATTTTTCAAAAACAAACCACCTCCAAGACTACACAAGAAAACACTTGGAAATTTTGACATATTTTCAAACCATTTCAACAAGAAAATACCATGGGCCCTTTCGAAAATAAAACACCACAGACTCTAAAATTCTATCTCATTCTTAAAAACAATATCACGGATCTCCACGATTCTCAAATTCACGTCACGATTATTTTAAATTTTTTTGTTGGTATTGCCACCACAATTTTCTCAAAATTAAATTTCATAGGTTGCTAAACGAGTTTTTTTTTCACGGTAAAAAAGGAAGAAGGTAATGAGACAAACATAATTTCCAAAATCAGAGAGTCGAGCTACGAAATAAATATTTTGAATTAACCAAGGGCGAAATGCGTATAAATACAACTCAACTTGGTTTCAAATTTGGCGTTTGTGGTGCACCGTATCATACTTTGCGGTAGTAGAAATTTCTCTGGCATTATGATTTCAATGTCATTAATCAACTTAATACTATTTAGAAAGAAGAATACTTTCCAAATTTTAACAGACACAAAATGTTTTATTAATTATTACTTTTTCAGTAGTGACCAGCAAGCAATGCATGGAAATTTACCTACATAGTACAGTTACACAAATAAAATGAGGGTGCTTATTAAACCATATTCAGCAAACACAATAGATTTAGCTGTTTATGAGTTTGAATGCGACGACAAAAAATTTTTAATGAAATTTTATGGTTTCTTTCAAGAGACCGAAAAAATAAATCCGGGATTTTGTACCTGAGCTCTTTGTGTTTACGGCCAGGTATAAAGCGTAGGTTATACTACACATGAGATAAGACGACACTATCACTTTTTTGAGTAAAATAGAAAACCGGAAAAAAAGCTCTGTGCCTTAGAAAACATGAAAGTCCACAATTTCAAATTAAAACAGCAGCAACACTTAGCATCGCTAAATAACTAGCAACTCGAACTTCATGCTCATTAAGTTTCCACTCCTAATAGATACTTTACTTAATAAACACCCATTTTATCCTGTTAGTTAAACGAAATCTTTCTGCGGACCTAATAATGTTAGCTCCGCGGCCATAACACGACAATGAAATGTTTGAAAAATATTTTATAGTAAATCCCCCCAACGCAATATCTACATTCCAACGGAACAACGTTGGAGGTCGTGAATATTTAATGCCACTTAGAGAATTTACAGCGCATCAGTTTGGATAAATCCAGCAGTGATGGTATTGCAAAATAAAAACTTCAGCAACGGTTTGCCATCGGTAATTAATCGGGTTTTAATACCGCTGGATTAATAACGGGTGTTAGTTTCACGTTTGGAGTTGACTACGATTTAATGTGTTGTGAGAGTCAACTCCAAACGCGTCTTCTGAAAAATTTTATCCAATTTCGCACTTACGGTTCAAAGCGATCAGGTCCTCGTTGTAGGCAGACGCCATCGACAACTTTTAGCAGTTGTAACGATTTGTCTAAGTTGGTGCAAGTCTTCGATTAAAACAACTTTTAGTCTTTTTCAAGACTGGGTGCTACGTGTATCACAGACAATGTTATTGCGTTAACCGTAGATACATATTTACAAATTGAATTTTTACTGCATCCATATGGTGACCGTGGAATCCAGAGGCTTTCCAAGCTTTAAAAAAAATGGAATTTCAGTTAAAAACAACAGAGAACGGCAGGTATTAATGGAATTTCGCGCGCTTCGGACTGACGTGTTAATTATTAAAAATCGAGATGAAAATGTGCCAATAATTTAACTTCATCAGACATGCCACGAACAAAGGGTGCGATTAAAGTAATGAAAGGTTACTAAAGAAAATTAGTTGACCCACTTATTGAGTACACAAATCATTAAAAAAAACTTATCATTTATAACATGAGTGACACACATTAAAAAAAATGTGCAAGCTTGCTATTTTATGCACCAGTGCCATCACCTCAAACGTTTAAATAATAGTGAAACTGATAATGCAAAATTTTATATTTACATTACATAATTTATATGATAATTTGAAATAATTGGTAACCTCGAATAAATTCGCATATCCCAGAGATAACCTCTGTGCATTGCATAAGCACAGCGTATTTTTTCTAAAAAATAAAACCGACGTCATGTAAACACTAAACACTAACAACTAAATTACTTAAGTCACTACCTATAATGTATGACGTCATTTGTAAATACTGCTCACCAAATCTTACCGAATTTGTAACGCTTTAACTGTTTAAAAAACCGTACGCACGCCATTCTGGAATCCGTCGTGACAAAAGATTTTCTATTACTGACGAGAAATTCTATACCTTGTATATCGCATAACAAAAGCTTCTTCTTGTTCAATGCATTTAAATTGCTACTTCACAACTGTAAAGTCGATCCTTCTCGTAATTTCCAGTTTTGACTCAAAGTCCAAGCATTTATTGCTTCTAACAAAAAGTCAACATTTTATGCATTCCAGTATTGTCCACGCATGTGGATTCACTCCCACAATGGCTCTGATAAATAAGTAACACAGGGCGGCGAACTTGCTTAAAATTTCTATGGATAATAAATTAACGTGAATCGAATCACAACGGAAATCTCTTGCAAAATGCAGATTGTTATATATGTACTTAGTCATCGGCGTGCTCTGGCTGTTATCATTACATGCGTTCCGCAAACTTTATCAAATTCACCGTAGCTATTTAATTTTACATCAGAATTATCACTCATATTGTAATGACTCATGCAAATTATCGATAACGTTCCGGATAACACTAACAAATAAAGGCGGTTCGCTCGTAATTGCCCAGTCCATTTCAACTTCAATTGAATGAGAAATGAAGCTCTTGTGCCTCAACGCAACAGTCTGAAAGCGTGCAGTTAACTGCATAAAGCAGGCAATTTATTTTAGTGCTAATTCAACGTTTAAACTTGTTAACGGGTTCGTAAATTCGAATAGACAGTTTTTATAATAATAATTACTTTACTACAACTATTGCACTTTAATGTCAAAACAATATGCACTTGTTGGACATTTCAGCAAACTGGTTCAAGGTATATGGAATATCCACTTTTTTTGTATTCGCGGATATGAAGAAATCGTTCAACAATTTCATAAAAATCGTTTGTAATCATCAACAAAAGCTTCACCGTTCTGATTAATATTTTTCTTTCTTAATGAAGACATCAGACGCTGAAAATCTCAAGGTTTAAGCAGGAGTAACGATTTGATAAGAAACATAAATACACCAGTTTAAGAAATAGGTCCCCAGATGTTACACCTTTGAAGGATAAAAGAATTCCATTTGCTCCGTTAGTCATCAAAGGATTGGGAAAGTTTTCGTAGGACGTGAAGTAACAGTGGTTTGCAGTTTTCCACCGAGCTTGCAAACAAAGCTCTCTTGGAAACCCGAAGAATAATGTACGGACGGAGATTTATGCAATCAGTTCTAAGGTTTTTTTAACGACTTGAATTAAGCATCAACAAAAAATACAGCGCAGATAGATAGCTAGTGGCTACTCTCATGGTTTCTCGACGTTTCATGAACCCTACAGTACGACAAAATAGGTCTTCCTAAATTAGACACTTCATCAGGGACAGAAGGAGTACTATCCATTTTTATTGTTTAATCCATATTGTTCTTTAGACACAATACGAAGCTCGAAAACCAAAACCAAGTCTAACGATAGCCCGCAGGTTCGCATCGTTTTATTGATTAAATCAAGAATGGTTCATCGTATTTCCCCGAAAATTTGAGAACACCGTAGCGTCATTTTATTATTAGTATTACATTGCAAACATTTATTGTGGAAAACTCACGTGAAACATAGGCATAACATGCTTCTTTACATGTAATTTAACAGTCCACATATGGCTTTCTTGAATTTATAGGGGTTGTCATAAAACAAGAATCATAATACATATTAATTTTTTAATTTTTCGAAGCTGCATTTATTCGAATGAGTTTCATGAGTGAGAGAAGTTCCGTCTAAATAACATTAGACCTTTTTTTGTGACAACCTCTATTGATTAAAAGTATAGATAAAAAGTCATAGGTTAAAAAAAAGACAGACGACAGTCAGACGGAAATGGGAGAGCCATTTTTTCGTACTCTACGGTCATGAAACGTCGAGAAAACCAAGCCTGTCGTCCAATGGTCCCTATTATAATATTTCCTTAGCTTACGCTCGGGAAAGGAAGATATTTTTTATTATAAAGAAAACGTCTAATGGAACTAGAGTGGAAATATTATGAGAAGCACAATATCGGTGTATTTTTCTGAAAGTATTTCTATTCAAAAGAAGAAGAATCATACTTTCAGTCGTCGGTAATCAATGGCGTTGGAAATGATCAATAACTCAATTAAAAAATGTCTGAAGTTATTTAGACATCACTTTCCTTGCCTCGAAGGAACCGTCCAATAAATTCCGCTTCTTCGAATAATTATAAAATTTGATTTTGAAATTTGTTTTAACGATAAATTAAAAAATTGGTCCAAGGTTACTTCCCTCGCCCTTGAAGTACAGTCCAAAGAATTCCGTTTCTTTGAAAAATAAAAAAAAATGTTTTCTGATAATCTTTATATAGCAAAAACCAGAGGTGTAAATGACAAATTCCAAGGAGGTGTCGTCCGTAGACATACAGACAATATGAAAAATATTCAAAGCAAATAACCAACGGAAAACAGCGTATTATTTCTAGTGTACGTGCTTAACTTCGATTGTTTATGTTTATACATCGAAAGAATGTAACGTGAAATCTGTGAATTGCTCCTCCATTTTTTTGTAGATTTCGATTTCTCGAAATAATTTTCGGCTTCGTTTCTTCGCAAATTTCTATCGTTCTTCCAAAAACGTCAATTGAAATGTAGCAATTTTTACAGTCGCAGTAGCAAATAGTACAACAAAAAATGTATGATTGGCGCATTTTTTTACTTTTTTAGATTCTAGATTAGTTTCCACTCCCACTCCAAAGATGTAAATTATTAGCCCCGCCCACCCACCCTGCCTTCATTTCAGTGATTAATTTTATCCGGTCTGAATGAAATGAATGATCTTATACTGAGCAGAAATAAAATTAGTCCTTAGAATGAGAAGACTGGGGGTGGGCGTTAGTACTTGCTAAGATAAAACTGATTTTGGCAAATGACATACCCTCCAAGAAAATAGGGGACGAATGGGCGGGGCTAGTACTTGATAAGATAACACTGTTTTTGGCAAATGGCATATCTCACAAGAAAATAAGGGCGGGTGGGCGGGGTTAGCATTTTATAAGATATGACTGATTTTGACACTTCACATTTTCAACCATTTTCGAAAATTAGCTAGACATTTTCTTGTAGATTTTGGCATCCAGAAATCAATCTCGGCCTCATTTCTTTGGAAATTTCTATCGTTCTACCAAAATCGTCAATGGAAATATATATAGCAATTTTTACAGTCGCAGTAGCAAATAGTTTAACAAAAAATGTACGATTGGCGCTTTTTTTTACTTTTTTACGTCCTAGATTCTATTAGTTTCCAGTCCCACTCCATGGAAGTACATTATTAGCCCCGCCCACCCACCCTGTCTTCATTTCAGTGATTAATTTTATCCGGTCTGAATGACATGAATGATCATATACTGAGCAGAAATAAACTTAGTACGTAGAATGAGAAGATTGGGGGTGGGCGGGGTTAGTATTTGCTAAGATAAAATTGCTTTTGGCAAATGACATACCTTCCAAGAAAAAAGAGGGCGGGTGGGCGGGGCTAGTCCTTGATGAGACAAGACTGTTTTTGCAAATAATAAATCTTCCAACAAAATAAGGGCGGGTGGGCGGGGCTAGCTTTTTATAAGATAGGACTGATTTTACACTTTTGACATATTCGATCATTTTCGAATTTGAGCTACACATTTTCTTGTAGATTTCGATTTCATTTTCGGATTCGTTTTTCGGAAGTTAACACCGTTTTTCCAGTATCAACATTGTGTTTTGTAGGAAATAGTTTGACAAAAAAGTTACGTGTAGCGTTTTTTTTCCTTTTTGGCAGGTTAGATTCTATTACTTTTCACTTCCACTCCATAGAATAAGACAATTAGCCCCGCCCACCCACCCTGGCTCAATTTCAGTGATTAATTTTATCCGGTCTGAATGAAATGAATGATTTTAAACTGAACAGAAATAAAATTGGTCGTTAGAATGAGAAGAGCAGGTGGGCGGAGTTGGCAGTTGCTAAATTATTAATTAAGCCACAATGGAACAAAATGTTTTGAATATGATTATTATTATTCTTATTTGATCATAATTAAATAAAGGCGCGGGTATTCTCACACTTTCTAGAAAACGAGGTTCTTAATTCCAGTAAAGAATTGCTCGAAGATTATATATATATATATATATATATAATCCGACAAATCCCGCTCTTTAAAAAAAATTATAAAATTTGAATTTACAAAAAAAAGTATTCATAGCGTATTACCAATGCAAGAAAAAAAAAGAGAAAGGACCACTGTACTGTAGGAGTCATGAAACGTCGAGAAAATGTAAAAGTGACCAGTCATCCGATGGACTCGATTACTGTACTTTGTTATCTTACGCTCGGGATGTAAAAATGTAGATAATACCAGTCACAGTGAAATGAAAAAAAAAAATTGCAGCAAGACAGGGTTT